TTTGCAAAAATTTTTTTTATGAAAATATAAGTAATTTTACAACAAAAATTACTCTTGTTTGTCTAAGTGTCAAGAATATTTCCCCTAAATCTTAAATTAAATGCCTAAATCATTTACAAAAAATTCGACTTAATTCCTCGAAGATGATCCCCAAGTATACCCGTCATCGGCAACCTGGTTGTGCAAGTCAAAAAATAACTATGGATTATTGTAGAGTTCAGAATTATTCATTATTGTATCAGTTCTGAACTTGCATAAAAAATTTCAGATCTCTAGGACATCCGGAAGACTTTTAAATTAATTTTGAAAATTCCATAATTTGCCTTTTGCAAAGTAAATTGTTTATAACAATTACAGGGTTGTTTGAACAATTATTTAACCATGAAAATCGGATTCAGCATAAAAAAAATACATATAGAACACTCATCATGTTAATTTAAAAATGTAAAATGTTTCAAGAAATCTAATTTATTTGGATAGAAAACTTTAAACGCGTTTTTCTCGAAAAGTTGATTTTGGTAAGTAGGTCCCTTTTCTCAGACCCGGTACATATGATTTTTATTCATGAAAGACTCCTTTGATCGATAATGAGCTTAAAAAACAAGTAGCTACTTGTCAATAATATAAGATCGTATCCTTAAGGTTATGTTATTCAATGGTCACGTGACTTATAGTAAAGTATATGATGTATAGTATAGTAAAGTATAGTAAAGTATATGATGTTAACATATTTCGAAGTCAGCTTATGTAACTAAAGTGACCATCTAAGAATATCTTGTTTAGCACAATTGTCAACTTTTTGAAATGTTAAAGTCAACTATTTAAATAGTTGAAATTAACTTTTTTGAAAAGTTAAAGTTATTTTGACTGGCATCATTGTGTCCTTATAATACAAAGATTGTATTTTTACTATACTGTTTGTATTAAGAAAACAATGATACCAGTCAAATTGAAGTCAACTATTTGAAAAGTTGAAGTTAACTATTGGAAAAGTTAAAGTTAACTTTTTGAAAAGTTGAAGTCAACTATTTGAAAAGTTAAAGTTAACTTTTTGAAAAGTTGAAGTTAACTATTGGAAAAGTTAAAGTTAACTTTTTGAAAAGTTAAAGTTAACTATTGGAAAAGTTAGAGTTAACTTTTACAAAAGTTAAAGTTAACTATTGAAAAAGTTAAAGTTAACTTTTATAAAAGTTAAGGTTAACTATTGAAAAAGTTAAATTTATTTTGACTGGTATCATTGTGTCCTTATAATACAAAGATTGTATTTTCACTATACTGTTGGTATTAAGAAAACAATGATACCAGTCAAATTGAAGTTAACTTTTGGAAAAGTTAAAGTTAACTTTTAGAGAAGTTAAAGTTAACTTTTTGAAAAGTTTAAGTTAACTATTGGAAAAGTTAAAGTTAACTTTTACAAGAGTTAAGGTTAACTATTGAAAATGTTAAAGTTAACTATTGAAAATGTTAAAGTTAACTTTTTGAAAAGTTAAGGTCAACTATTGAAAATGTTAAAGTTAACTTTTTGAAAAGTTAAGGTCAACTATTGAAAACACTTAAAGTTAACTTTTAGAAAAGTTAATGATAACTATTGGAAAAGTTAACCATCTACCAAATCTATTAAATCCTCACAATGTCAATAAAACCATGTTATCAATTCACTGAGTTAGAATGCTAGAGTGTTAGGGCTGTAATCGTTTTTAATTAACTTAGTATAAGTATGATAACCTCAAAATGTACACTGAGAGACCTTTGGAACTGTAGCGGAACAACATATGTGACAGCGGCTCCACTACAGTTTTGGTGTGCTGCCGTACAATTTTGGGTGTGTGACTGTCCAAAATGTTGGTGAGCAGCTTACCAAAGTAGTGGGGATACCGCCATTGGTTTGCAGCTTAACAACTTTAGGACTTTCACGCGCCCAAAATTGTACCGCAGCAACCCAAAAGTATAGTCTTATAGCGTTCCACCAAAATAGTCAGTAGCAGCCTATCGAAAGTCTGCTGTTGACCCAAAGCTTTCTCAGTGTAGTATATATTTAACATGAATCCATATTTTTAAATATTTAAAAGAAATTCAATTTTTTCAGTTTAAATTTATTAACTGGTAATTTAAATTTCATATGTATCCTCACGAGGTAAAGGGAACCTTACGTCCAAAAAAAAATTAAGACTTAGTTATTAATACAATTCTATATAGTTTTTCAGTTGTTTTTTCATATACAAAAGTCAAAAATTGTTTTTACTTATACATTTTTTTATTCTTAACGATAAAACTTTTGTCAATTTGAAGTTTTTTATATGCAGATAGAAGGCGCTTTAAAAAATCGCTTTAAAATTTCTTATGAAAAACGCAAGTTCTTTTGTAGAATATACGAATAGGTTATGTTGTGCTTTATACAGGCAAGTTGACACTGAAAGAAATTATTCGTGATAACTGTGATAATTCTGGCTAATACAACCATATTGCCATTCCATTTTGTTTGTTTCAAATACGTCTGCGCACAACGCTTTTAACGAACGCATCTAACATCCTGTTTCACTCACGAAAGCTGGGTTCTTAATACTGACATTCAGTATGGTTGAATTAAACAGAAAACGGAATAGACAAAACTAATATAAAAATTGTAGTAAAACAATGAGACAAATCACAGAGTTACATTTAAATATGATTGACATTGTCATTTATATAAATGACATAAATAAATTTTTGAAATAGAATTATGATATAATAAATGTTTCCTCTGAAAAACTTTGTCAGCCAAAGTAGTACTTATGTTTTTCAAAATTGTGTTTATTGTTATTATGATGAGTTTCGCTAAAATAAAAGAACCTTATTTTCAAGTTACTGAAAATTTCCTAACCAAACTTTTATTGTTGATAATGTCAAAGCATTTCTTTCAGTGTAGTGTTTCCAACAAGCTGGTTTGGGTGTAGCACAAATTAATCTGTAATAGCACCAAGAAATCCTACAGTTCGTCTGTTGCAGTTTGTGAAACACACACACACAGTTTGGTTTGTGTATTCTCCAAACTCAACCGTTTGTGGATACAACAACCGTGGCTCATAGATGGCTCAGGAAATCCTGTAAATTTCACAAGAATTTTTTTCCGTGTATATATATGTTGTTTACAAGGAATTCTCTCTGCTCCTTCACACTGAGAAAACTGGATAGCCAAAGTTAGAGGGTTAGGTTTTAAGTGTTAGCCTGATTCTCTAGATAGATAACTTTTTCCTCCGAGATAGTCAACTTGATCATCAAAGTATCTATTTATCCCTCCGAGATGGTTACAAAACATTTAACCTTAAATATAGTCTGTTTGTCCCTCCAGATAGTCTGTTGAATACTCCATTTTTCTCTGTGCATTATTGAAAAAGTTAAGATTAACTTTTAGGAAGTTAAAGTTAACTACTGGAAAAGTTAAAGTTAACATTTATAAAAGTTAAAGCTAACATTTGGAAAAGTTTAAACTAACATTTGAAGAAGTTAACCATTTATCAAATCTAGTAAAGCCTTACAATGTGGCTGAAATCATGTGATCAATTCACTGAGTCAGAATGCCAGACTGCTAGTGCAGAAGCTTATGACTGTAACCGTTTTTAAAGAATTCTGTATAAGCATGAACTGTAGATGCAAATGTGTCATTAGTCAATTTCTTTCCAACAACTCATATAGAAGATTTTAGATGGCAACTGTCACATTAGTAGACAGAGTGTTAAAGTTAACATTTGGAAAAGTTGAATTTACTTTGTAGAAAATTCAAGTCAACTTTAAGAAACGTTATATATATATATATATATATATATATATATATATATATATATATATATATATAACTTTTTTCCATTAATATTTTTAAACTTAATAAGATGTATTCTTGTGACAGTGGAAGTCTTCATGCAAATATTCACTGATCTTTACATGAATAATGACGTTGCCTGAAGAATCAACTTCATATTGCCTTGTTATACATGACCGTGTAGTATAGTACGAACCAATCATTGGGATTATTAATAAGTTATAAGAAGTGGAGAGGGAAACAAAATGGTGTGGAGGATGAAGTGGAGACGTATGTAAGACAAATTTCTGAAGCAGATACTCATTTCTATTCTAAAATGGAGTTCATAGTAGACGTTCAAGGTTTTAAAAAACCCTGCAATGAGTTTATTTTCAAAGAGTTGGCTATAGTGCCTCTGGAGTCAGATGCTCAACCAAGAGTTTACCTTTTTGAACCACCTTGTGCTTGGAATTCACTACCAGGACGTTATAAAAGTAAGAACCTGTGGTTGACGAATAATTATCATTTAATACCTTGGATGGCTGGAGATGTGTGCTACGATGAAGTTCGAACCATTTTACAAGATGCTTTACGAGGAGCAAAAACTATCTACGTTAAAGGTTGTGAAAAAAAGCAGTGGTTAGAAAAGTATTTAATGATTGTACACAATTTAGAAAAAATTGACTGTCCAGCGTTTAAGAATATTAAAACTGAATTATTACCACTTATATGTACACATCATATTGCACAAACTGAAAATTGTGCAGTAAACAATGTATTTAAGCTTCGAAATTGGTTTTTGAATGTTACAAGTGAATTGAGAAACTTTTCATATGGTATCGATGAAGTGGATGATGTGAATACTAATTTAAAATCATATTGTGAAAATTATGAAACACTATTGTAATAAGTTTTAATTTTCTATATACATATGAATAAATGAAATTTATAATTTTAAAAATGTTGGTTATCTTTCTTGATATACCTACTCCTTTAATATTATATACTTTAAATTTTTTTTTCCTTTAACTTTAATAAAAATTTACTTATACAATTTTATACAAAATTCAATTAATTTAAAAATTATTTGAAATATGAAGGTGAATATGAAGGTAAATATTCTTTTATTACCTATAAAAGAATTAATTTAAAAGTAATTTTTTTATTATCTAAAACCTTTAAATATTTACATAATTTTTTACAATAGAACCTTAGAATATATATTTTATTCAAATTCAATAACATTAAATTTGCCACCAATATATTTTAATCGCAACTTTTCCGATTGCACGGCTTCTTCCATCATTGTGAAGGAGGTAGGGTCAGCTTCAAATAGTTTTGCGAACCTTGCCGGCAGAAAAGTGGTAAATGCAGCATCCAGGTCTACTACAATCCTAGAACCATATTTCGTCTGCACCTTGTTTATTTTAGTTACATTGTATGACTCATTAACAGTCAACTCAGAAAGTGGCTTCGTTGGTAGAAAGCTCTCCATACGACCAATGGCGTTGACTTTTTGGAACTCCATTGTTTTAATATCTGTAAGCAAAAAAAAGATGGATTTTTTAATATTAAATTTGAAAAAGAAAAAAAAATTTGGAATATAAAATGTTTTAATTAAAGAAATGAAATTTACCTACCAAATGAGTAAATGATGATGTAGTTGTTAAAGCTGCTAGTACTGCTAATGTTGATGTAGATGCTGAAGCTGCTGGTACTGCTAAAGCTGCAAGAAATTTTAACAGAAGTTTCGAATCGTTGATTCCAACCTACCTTATATCCCGTAAACCCAACTCTTCTTCAACTCCTACTCTTTTACCCCCACTTTAATGACTGCGCACGCAACTACCTCAAAAGAAGAGTCATTTAGAAGACGTGTTCAAACTCGCATGAAAATGACGTCACTAAAAGGTTTCTTAAGGAATGTCTTTGTTATTATCTACAGGCATGTTAAAACCTGTCTGAAGGTTTTTTAGACAATGTCTTTATTCTATTCAAGATGCAGGTTGAAACATGCTTTAAAATTTTCAAACAATACTATTGTTTTCTTGAAAAAAGGCAAGTTGAAACTTGCTTACATATTTTTGGACAATACATTTATCCCCATGGTGCTGTAGTACCAGTGAAGCATGCTGCAAGAGTCAGGTAGACAGGTCTGACGCATGAAACTTTCACTCACTCAACGCGGTAACCGTACGCGCACTTTTGCTGCGCACTGGGCCTTACCACCACCCACTCCCACTACCCACAACGCCTGCGCGGTATCTCGCGAACGCTTAATCCCTCGCGCTTCTCTATACGATTTTTGAAATTTCTGGTTTATACTAAGTGGGTGGTGGTGGTGGGTGGTAATATTGGAAATATATATATAAAGGAAAAATGTGGGTGGGAGGGAGGGGGTGGTTAACTAAGAGCAATAGAAGAGGGTGGGTGGTATTTGCATATTCTATATCCAAAAGGGTGGAGAGTGGGTGGAATTTGCATAAACTAAAAGGGTTAACTACTTCACTGGCGGGGCGTTCCAAATGGCGTTCCACGCGCCGAGGCCCAGACTGGCAAAAACACCGAAATGGCGTTCCTAATAAAACTTTATTTTTAAAGAGTGTACACTACTTTTTACTACTACAAAGCAATATTTCTATAGTTTAGACATCAGGGAACAAGATTATCACAATGAAATTTTCAGTTTTTGAGATTTTCAATGTTTCTTTGAACGTTGAAATAGTTGTAACCATTAATTTTATCTTTAAAAAATATTTAAACATGTGAAAAAATAAAATTAATAATTTAAAATAACAAATGATAAAATGAGTATTATATTAAAGAATTTATTTTAAAATAAGAATAATCGATTTTTATAAAGGCACAAATTAATATATTTATCAATTTAATAGAAGTCAAGTAAATGCCAAAATATCCATTTACATTAATAGTTCAATAAAGCATGACGTCATGATCGTTATATTTTACATTCACACCAAACAAATTACACACAAAATCACACAATTACAGACAATCATACAATAATGATATCAAAAATATAAAAATAGTTCGACATAAATTCAATTATCATTCATTTTCTTATAAAATTTAATTTAGAATTTCTTACGTATTAATCTGTTTGTTCGTCGCTTCCTTTATTACATTTTTTATTCCAAAAGGCTCAATGATCGAAATGGTGCATCAATGTAGTCACAAGGTCCATATGTAAAGGATAGTCGAAGGATTTATAAATTAAAGTACATCTCTTGACCCTTAATTTGGATTGATGTTTCAATAAAGTTCCTTGCGAGAAATATCCTTCCCTTTAGACATAATTGCTCGAAAAGATGCCACACAAATTATATCAAGGCCGGAATACGAATATCATTTCACCATATATCAATTCGCCACTCTATATAAAAAATACACACACATATATATATGTATCGAGATCACCTTTTATCCATAATACATATGAATGTAACATTACATAAAAGATCTAAAATATAATCAAACGATTACCTTATGGTTTCTCGACGAGTACACAAGATATGGCGAAAAGAATTTCTTTTTCTTATGGAAGACGACGAAACATTGACTCGCAGATACAATATTACAGCAGTTCCCTATACTTCTCCCTACTCTTTCTCATTTAGGAAACCGAATAAGAATTCGTCAAAATACGACAAAATTCGTCGTGTCTTCTTATATTACGCACATACAAATATAAACGTCGCTCATACACGAAAACTAATACTCACATTATTTTATCGCTACATTATTCCCCTTAATTTTGAGCTACATTTTACATTAGAGTCAAAATTACAAAATGTTATATTTAATTAAACATATAATGTCATTAATTTTCGTCGATATATAAAAATTATCCAATAATTATTATTTATTCATTTTGTATATATTAATATCATTCTCACACACTCGAATTGACAACAATAATTATTCAATTTAACATCACAATCTAATATGTCGACTGTAAAATAACAATTTCATAACAAATAATTAGGTATTAAACAACATAAATATTATATTATACAAATCATTACATTTTACTATTAAACGCGATGCAAATCCAAATATTCAATTGTCATAAGGCCTTCTATATTTTTTTAAATGATATCTATTATAAATCCCAATAATTTTTTCAGGTTCTTCCGGGGAAGCTAGTTCATAAGAATTATTTTTAAAATCATTTTTTATCACATATGGTCCATAATAAACATGAAAGAACTTTCGAGTTACCTTCTTTAATGCGTCAGAAATTTTTGGAATATGTAACAGTACTAAATCGCCTACTTTTAAACTGACTTTTGAGCAAGACTTTTGAACTCGAGCACGCTTTTGAAAGCTCTGTTGTATTTTCTCTCGGGCTAATAAAATTTTAACATCTTTCGCGATTTCTTTTGTTTCTGGAAAATTTAAAATTTTTTGAACAGGGTCGGAAGGCCTAACTCCAAATAACAATATTTAAAAAGAAATCAATCAAAATAATAAATTAATAAACAAAATAATTAAAAAAGAATAATTCGCAATTCATCACACGACTAAAATCACTCTCTTTCTTTTATACCATCAGACATAGACATTTTTAAATAATAATTTAATTTTAATTATCAAAATTTATAAATTTGTGCACCTGAAATCTCCAGGGCCACTTTATTAATTACGGTCGTGCACTTACGAGTCACCCAACAGTTGGCAAAGAATACTCGTTCTGTTGAGGAAGATTTTGGTTTCCCGACCGGTTCCGACTTTTTTTTTTTTTTTTTTTTTTTTTTTTTTTTTTTTTTTTTTTTTTTTCTTAATGAAGCGATACAATCTCATGAGAGATTGACTCCTGGAAAATGTTACCGGTCCGACTTCAAAGTATTTCCAAAATTTAATTATTTTCGTGTTCTCAATATTCGGCTAAGAGTGGGGCTTGGCGGGTTGAATCGTGGGGTCGATGAAAAGTGCGATTGATTAATTTATTAATTGACTTTCGCAATTCATCGACACGGGATCAACAGCGGCTACGCTCTCACGTGCCGGCCGAGGACACGGAAGGTTGTTTTATTTTATTATTTTAAATTCTTTGTTTTATAATTTTTATTGTTTTTGTATTTTGTATTGTCGCGGTTTTTATTTATTTTCATGAAATAAGAAAATCGTTACATTTTTGGCGCCCGAACAGGGACCAGACGCGTGCCCAACTTTTTTATTGTATTCTATAAATTTGAAAAATTTTATTGTTTATTTGAACGTTTAGAAAATATTTGAAAACTTATAAATTTTGTATAATGATTATTTTCTGTAATTATATAACGGTAAAATGAATGTATGATTTTTGTGTATATGAATGAGCAATTTGTATTATTTTCGAGGCTTGAAACAATAGCGCTGACAAAGACAGAAGTAAAACAAAGAGAAGGTGACAAATGTAATTAGCAAATTTTATTTTTGATTTCTGAACTTAAATTATTTTGACAATTTTGAAAATGAATGTGAACAACGAAATATTTATTGGAATGATTTTGCGAAAATTAAATAAAAATAATGATTGTTGTCGAGATTGTGCCAATCGAGTATTCGAAACTCTCAATGATGCATTTAAAACTTTTAATTTTAATTTTGAAAAATTTGATTTAGGAGAATTTGAAAATCCGCATTATTTTCTTGAACGTATTGATAAATTCTTTGTTTTGAATAGAATTTCTATAAATGAGCAGTTAACTATTTTGAAATATTTATTGCACGGCAAGGTGAAAACTTGGTTTCACATACAACAATCTCCGTTTATTGATATAAACGACTTTAAAATTAAATTTTTAAATTATTTCTTTTCAATTCCGATTCAAGTTAACTTTAAATTAAAATGGTATTCACGACGTTTCATTCCCAAAAGGGGAAATTTGCAGTCTTATTTTATGAATCAGATCTATGAAGCACAATATTTGTTTTCGGAAATGGATATTGGTGAAATTTTCTATAGAATAATTCAGCAGATGCCTAATCGCGTAAAGGATGCATTGGTAACTGTTGATTATTTAAATTTTGATAAAATTTTACAGTCTTTGGTAAATTTAGATTTGATTTATCAAGATAAACAAAATGCTCGAAACAATGAATGCAAAGATTTTTTAAATTATGCACCTCCTTTGATGCCTTTGTCATGCATGGATTTTGGGAAATTGGAGCAATCAACTAAAAATTTGAATATTAATGATAATGATGGTAGTAGTCAAGAAAGTTTAAGGGGGATCGATAAAAATGCTGTTTATAGGGGGATTGAATTTACAAATTTTGATTCGACAATCAGTCTCACTGAGCATGTTTGTGAAAAAGACTTTGTAAATAACACAAAATTATATAATATTGATGATTTTGATTTTCAAATGAATGTTAATTCTTGTAATAATTCGATGAACGATAGTGGAATTGATTTAGAGATCGAAGAATCTCAAATTAATCAAAGTCAGGAAAATTCTAGGGATGAAGTTCGGGGTCAGACGACAGATGATCTGAATTCCACTTCGGAAGAATATTCTCCTAAAAGAAAGAATATAATAAACGATAAATTTTGTGATTTTTATAATGAAAATTTATTTTTTACTTATTACATTATTATATTATAATGTTTTGTATGTAAATATATTTTTTAAATAAAAAATATGAGTTTTACTGTGTAAAAATTGAAAAAAAGTGGAACGCCATTTGGTGAAAAGTGGTAAAAATTGACTATTTCATTGTTTGAAAAAACATTGAAAATCCCAAAAACTAAAATTTTTATTGTGATAA